GTTAGCATGCTAATGTTAGCGCTCTTTAGTTAGCCTGTAGCTTCATATTGCACATACATTGACACAGAATGACCAAGACCTAAAGACACTTACTAACATCCAAATAATCAGTGAGTATGTTCTTCTTCTTTTCTCTCGTCCTTGAGATGAGATGAGATGAGATTCAACTTTATTGTCATTACACATATACAAGTATAGAGTAACGAAATGAGGTTTGGCATCTCACCAGAAGTGCAAATAAGCAGAAAGTGCAAGAGTCTGTGCTATGTACAGTAATTACAAAATTTACAGATGTAGACTAAAAAAAGTGAATTATTAGGTATATCTGGATGGCTGGATTAGTGGGATGCTATAAATATAAATAAATGCTATAAATAAGTAATGCTACAAAATAAGTGTATTCTTGGGATTATAATATACAGATTAAGGTGCAGTGAGCATGCTATACTAGTTTACAGATAATATAAAGAATATGGACATAATATGAACATACTATAATGCAATAATACAGATGGATGAGAGATGTGTGTGTGTGTGACTAAAACAGCTTTAAACACAAGACCGTCCCGTCCATAAACATGATGTAAACATAATGTAAACACGGCTCTGACAACAACACAGCCAGCAGGACTCGAGCTTCTCACTCACTGTAGACAGTCATGACTCAGAGAGATATTTACACAGGATATACTTCATTTCTGCTGTGTTTATGAGTAAAATGTTGCAAATTCTTCCTTTAAAAATCCTCCCTTCATTTCTCGTTTGAACTTGATTCATGTGGCAGTAAACATCACGGGTTGGGAAGCCGAAAGGCAACGTACGTACGAGGGGGAAGTGAAGGATTTGAAATGGAAAGTGCTGGTAATTAAGCAGGACTAACAACTGAAAATAAAGAAGAGTGAGCTCCACTAGATAATTAACCCAAAAAAAAAAGGGGATGAATCTCCTGAAATAATTTATTATACAAAATGCTTTACATAACAAAACAGCTCCAACCTGACCTAGAAAACACAGCACTCCAGTAAAGACACAAGGTAGCCGAATCCTTCTGTGAACCATTTCCGATTGCAGCAGAGGAGGTAATGAATGACCGCGGTGCATTCTTGATAAGGAGAAGCCCTTTATACATCGGGAATGACACTTAGGGTTGCCACTTTTGGATACCCTTGGGGGGTAAATCAACCAGGGCTTGTTATGACACATGCAGCACTTTCAGAGATTCTTTCATCCGGGACACCGTCACCTGCAATTAGTCAATAATGTCAAGTGACCTATTTATATCTGGCTGTGTCATTACGTCCCACTACAACTTCTTCCAACACAGTTTGTAAGCCTCTCCATCTGGTGTAAAAGTCGTTAAATAAACAGAGCCTGTTTGCTCTTACTCGCAACGCTGTATTCAACAGCAGCTCGACAGCCATTATGAAGACATTAAAATTAACTGTGTTTGAATTTTGCTGGTACCCTTAGTGTCCCATCAGAATAGGAAAATACGTGCTACCATGTAAAACAAAGAAGATTATGTCAGCATTAAACTTTCATTCAAACAAAAATGGTAAAACAAATAAAAAAAATAACCAGGGCACCCCAATAACATGTTTGTTTTGAGTACGAGTGCCCTGACCACAGACTTTATAAAGAAGCAGGAGAGAAGTGAAGCCCCTGCTGATTGGCTGGAGTATAGGTAATAAGCCCCGCCTCCTCCATGGTAACAGATGGAACAACAGGCAAACTTCAAAGTTAAAATATAAGCGAAAAAACATTTCTTGAAACCCCGGATTCTATCGTGATGGTTAGATATTAACCATCTGATTAATGTCCAGGTGTTCACCTTTCTGAGAGGTTCAGTTTTAAATAATACTTTTTAAAAAACAGCGGATGGGGGCGGCCCTGGTAGTCTAGCGGTAAGTGTGGCGCCCCATGATTGGCAACTATAATCCTCCAAGTGCGTGCCCCGGTTCAAATCCGACCTGTGGCTTCTTTCCCGTATGTCGTTCCCCACTCTCTCTCTCTTCCCAGTTTCTGACTCTATCCACTGTCCTGTCTCAAATTAAAGGCATAAAAGCCCAAAAATAAACCTCTGTAAAAAACGAGCAAATGTATTGTCATGATTGGCAGCCCTACCGATAAATGCGGCTCCTTGCAGCGTTTTTGTACAAGATAAGCAGAGCAGAGGAGGAATGGTGAGAGGAAATTACAAAAACCAACAAAAGAGTCGTTGAACTTTCTGTATTCATAATCAATCGTTTTCATTACGACTGTAACATGGTCACTAACTGCCCTTACTGCCCTTTCCGCCAGGATAGCCGCACTTGACCCATCTGATGTGGCTTCAACTCTGGCCCAAAACAAAGAGCAGCACAAAGAAGAGCATGCGATATCCATGTCCGATCTCCCGCCCAGCTCCACTGAGGAGTCGCCCGCCACCACAGGACCCGGTCCAGACTCCCCTCAAGACCTCAGGACTTCCACTCTCTAGGGGGTGCAAACTGTGATCGCTTGTTCCTAATGTATCTAAATAAAACTGAAAAAATGCCACTTTCCATGAACTACCCTTCATTTTCAAACTCTAACCAACCCGACGCAACTTCTGACTTTAATAACGACTGTATAGGTAACACATTTGTTTGGAGGTGTTTGTTTGTCAGAGTGCATGTGTGATGGTGTGTGTGTGTATGTGTTGAAGAAGTGTTCATTACCTGCTGAGAGCTCATGTGTGAATGAAGAACAGGAAGAGCATGTTTTAAAATACACTTGTACATGTACAGTATGTTAGTTTGTGTGTGAATGAGATTAAAAAAAAAAAAATGTGATAAGAACCTTTTATGTCTACAAACTTTTTAAGGTTAAAACTGTTAAAAGTTTGTTTGAATGTAACACTGCAAGAAACGTCCGAGAGGAAGTGTTGAATTTGATTTGATTTGTATTCGAAATAACTCCTGAAATTTGTATCATCCATTGTGATTTAAGAATTCATGAAATAAAGTGATAATGTTGAAGTTGTTCTTGAGAATGGATTTTTGTCCACATTTGTCTTCTCCATCCATCAATCCATTATCTATACCGCTTTTCCCGTTCAGGGTCAAGGGGTCTGGATCCGATCACAGCTGATATTGGGGCGAGAGGCGGGGTTACACCCTGAACATGTCTTTGGACTGTGGGAGGAAGGCGGAGTACCCGGAGAGAACCCACACATGCACGGGGAGAACACACAAACTCCACACAGAGAGGCTACTGTCCAACAGTTTTGGTCCATATCGCCAAGCCCTACCGTGAGCCCAATAATGCTTTAAAACTTTTGTTTATCCAAAGCAGCCTTCTTTATTCTGGGCCAGAAACGAGGGCAAGAAAAAACCATGGAGACCGTCTTCAAAGAATAAAATAAAAAAAGTACCACGCTAAATAATTGAGATGCTGATTTAGACTGGATTACTATTATCAGAAGACCTCTGTGTGTTCTGAAATATAACTTTACTGATTCCAGACATGGTCGATTTGAAGAGGATTCAAAAACAGACGTCCTCCACAATAATCACAAATGATCAGAGGTCCCAAGGTCATACTTATCCCGTGGGAATAGGGCTACAGGCTGTTTGGGTTGACTCACTTCATGCCAGCAATGGTTACAACTTTTTTTCAAGGATCAATAATGTTGATGGTGCGTCGTCTTTGCTTTTGAAGGTCAAAGAGAAGCCTCAGTATGAATTTCAATCTTTCAAAAAAAAAAAAAAATCTCTTAAATGCGCACCAACAAAAATATGACAAACATTCCCCCCCGAGACACCTGACTGCATCATCCATGATGGTACTTGTTCTGAAATTGAATAAATAAACTGAAGTATGACTCGAGCATGAATGCTACCTCACAGTCGGGTCTTTTTACTGTGGACCGAGACTGGCGTCACTGGGTTATGATCACAAGGCAAACGAATGGGTGTTGGAGAAAAAGCTTCAAGGCCAAATGTTTTCATGCATGTGTGTCTTTGTGTGTGTGTGTGTGTGTGTGTGCGCTTACACAAGCTCCACAAGGGTCTGGTCATGCGCTTCATAGCTATTTAAGCCAGAAGAGGGGAGAGGGCCGACTCTTGGGGGGATACAGATCTGCAGACAGAGGAGCAGCATGCACAGTCAGAGGTAGGGGAAACACACCACACTGATGCTTTTTTCTCACAATGGACTGAAAAATAGAGCAAGTGCTGTTTAAAAAAAAAAAAGAAAGGACATGATGCTAATATGTATAATTAAGCTATTGGAAGATTAAAATCATGAAAAAGTTCAGATGGAGATGCACAGCACATGAAAGCTCATGTTGCATCAGCTGAGGGTAAATGTGGAGTAAGAACATTTAGTCATTCAGAATATCTGAGGAAGATATGCAAAGCACTTTTTTTGTTTTTCCCCTGCGTGGTTGTTATCACTGTTTTGTAGTAAGATAATTGCTCCTGCCAAATTATAACTCACTCCTTCATTCATTCCTCATCAACAAGCTTCAAAAGACAAGCACAATGTAGCCACACAGAAAAAAAAAAAGACGAAGAAGAAGGTTGAAGAAAATCATCTCGAGCCGTCTATTGTTGAAAGCATTTCTGAGCTTGTGAGAGTTGAAAGCTAATGGCTTTGTGAATTATGAATAATGACTCAAAGTGCCTGCAGGGGCGTGTAAGACGTGAAGTTTCAGAAAAAAAATGTTAAGACAATTGGCTTTAACAAGAGAACACAAGAGCGAGCGAGTTGTACTTGAGCTTTATTGAAGTGCGTGTCTGCAGTGTATTGACTCCGTCTTGCAAAAAAAACGTGTGCCGGGAAAGACGGAGGCCTCTTACGACTCTGAGCACGAGAAGTGGATTAGAAAAGATGGACGGATGGATGTAAAACAAGAGTTATTTTATGTTTCTCAAATCCCCAACGTACTTAATTTCTGACTTTGTTCTCACATCTAAAGCACACCGCATGTACCTAAAGTATTCCCCCCTTCCACCTCTGCATTTTTATTGTGCAGCATGTGGAGAGCGGGTCTCCTGGTGGTGACCCTGTGTGCACCGCTGACGCTGGCCCAGTTCCCCCGAGTGTGTATGAGCCCCGAGGTGCTGCGGAGCGGCCAGTGCTGCCCTTCTCCCACGGGGGTGGTCGGGGACGAGTGCGGCTTCAGGTCAGGGAGGGGGCAGTGTGTGGCTATATCAGCTGACAACATGCGCTACGGACCCCAGTACCCCTACACCGGGCGCGACGACAGGGAGATGTGGCCGCTGAGGTTTTTCAACCGCACGTGCCAGTGCAACGGGAATTTCAGCGGCTTCGACTGTGGGAAGTGTAAACACGGGCTCACTGGACCGAACTGTGACCAGAGGGTCCCTGTGGGTAAGAGAACGGACCCCTGTCTTTACGTAGAGCGTTGGCAACCTGAACATTCTCAGTAGGCCTCAACAGAAAGGAAAAAAAAACATCAGCCAAGAGAAAGAAGAAAGCAAAAAAAAATGTCTATGTTAATTTTTTATACTGTTTTTCTTTCCCCTTCTTTTCCTTTTATTCTCCTACAACTTCCTTCCCCTCTTTTCTTCCACCCCGTTTCACCCGCACCAGTACGGAAAAATATCATGGACATGAGCCAAGTCGAGAAGCAGAATTTTGTGAACGCTTTGGACCAAGCTAAGAGGACCACCCACCCCGACCTGGTCATCGTAATAAGACGGTACACATGTCAGCTTCATACGTTTAATGCAGTGGTTCTCAACTCGTCTAGCCTCAGGACCCAGCACTAACTCCTCCCTGAAAAACAGCGACCCAAATTTCAGATATTCTTTTCAACCAATCAGAATTATTTTATGTAAAATTGTGCTGTTTTTTGCAGTTTGCAGCTTCAATCGACTGTAGTTCAGACGATGCAAAACATCCGACGGAAGAAATAAACTGAACAAAACAAACCTGTTTAAGAAAGAGTTTCAGATACTGTGCTCGCAACCCACTGAAAACATCTCCACGGCCCACTTTTGGGTCCAGACCCACCAGTTGAGAATCCCTGGTTTAATGAAACCATCTCACATAGCCAGTCTTTGGTCTTGTACAAATACGTTGGACAGGCAGCTGATTCTTTTGCTCTAAAACCTGCTTAGAAGTCTGGGAAGTATTGCACCTAGTGAACACATGTCCTGTTTTTAAAATAGATAAATGTTTAAATATCAGTAGAATCATTACATTTCTCATGGCAGCTTTGTGTTAAAGCTGCCAGCGGAGGAGCAAATGATCAGTTTAGGTAGGAGTAAAGGGATTTATAATGTTCTAAGTAACAGAACATAAATCTGTGAATAACCTCCTTTCAAGTCAGCTGAGGATTACAGTAGATTAATTTTTGAAGCAATTCTCAGCTGCAGGTAGGAGAACCCTTTTAACCTCCTCAGAAAAAAAGAAAAATCCTCCTGTTTAAAGAGCAGAGCTAGAGGCCTTATACTTGAAGCCTCGCCCCCATAGGAAGCTGCAAGCAGATATAAAATGTACACAGCGTCTAGCAGATTGTTGGATATATTCTCACACATTAAATCGACTGATATGAGTGTTACGACGGCTGGTTCTGCTTTGAGAACAGGTTAAGATAAGCAGATAGAGATCTCTTTTTTCTTTGTTGTTAACCTTTAACCAGGTTGGTCCCATTGAGATGAAAAACCTCTTTTTCCAAGGGAGACCTGGCCGAGAGAGGCAGCAGCAAAAACACAAAGTTAGAGACGGAAATACAAAGAGAGACACAGTACAATTTACAAAGCACAACATTTTGGATTAAAATAGAACCGTCTATGAGTCATATCTGGGAATCAGTTGTTCAAACAGCCGAGCTAAAAACATCGACATCCGATAGAATCTGCTTCCATGTCTTTAATTTTAGATTTAAAAATATTTAAGGACACCAGCTCCTCAAGCTTTAAGTCATTCTGCAACAGATTCCAGGCTGAGGGTGCAGAATACTCAAAAGCCCTTTTCCCAATTTCTGTCCAAGCTTTTAATAGGTAAATACCACAAGGTGACGTTCTCTCTTCTGCCCCCCCCCTCACCTGTAGATACCCGGAGGTGTTTGGCCCCGACGGCAACACACCACAGTTTGAGAACATTTCCATTTACAACTATTTTGTTTGGAGCCACTACTACTCAGTGAGCAACACTTACCTGGGGCCGGACCAGCCAACCTTTGAAAGCATAGACTTCTCCCACGAGGGCCCGGGCTTTGTCACCTGGCACCGTTTCCACCTGCTACAACTGGAGAAAGACATGCAGGTGAGTGGAGGACATGAGCGGGGGGGGGGGGAGGGGGCACAGTCGAAAGGAGAAGAGGGGAAAAAGCAGAGGAGGAAGTTTGAGGGAGGACGTTTGGTGCTATCGTAAATTACAAAAACTAGCGAGACCATTGGATAGTGTCT